ATACAAGTACATACTTGTAAGAGAGAGCATGAGAGGACAACAGAAAAAGCCAACCTTTTCCCCACCCATTTCCTCAGAGATCCAGGTTTAGTGGCCATGAAAGCCACAACCACAGTGATGGTTTTGGCCAGCACACTAGAAATGATCACAGAGAAGGTGATGCCAAAAGTTGATTGTCGAAGGAAGCAGATTACTTTGCCAGGTTGGCTGAGGAAGAACAAAGATGAGAGAAAACAGAGCAGAAGAGAGATCAAGAGGGTGTAGGTCAGGGACCTGTTGTTGGCTTTGACAATGGGAGTGTCCTTGTGCTTAATAAAAGTTCCAAGTACCCAAGAGGTCAAGAGGAAGAAACCAAGAGCTGCTGAGGCTAAACCAATTCCTAAGGTTTCTTCAAAGGTTAGAAACACCACCAGTTTTGAGATACATCCTTTCTTTCCTTGATTTGGATAATGATCTTGTGAGCATTTAAAACAGTTATCCATATCTAGAAGGAAAATCAAGGAATTTGTCATCTAAGCCTTCTAAATTATTGAAAATCACATTATTTTTATGTACCCATGTCATTTATTAAATTCTCTTACTTCTAATGAAATTTGGTAGAATTCCTACCCTACCATTTTGATTCGAAATCTTCACTTCTGGGCATGGAACACAGTCATAGCAGCAGAACTGACTTCCTTCAATTCCTTTCTTCCAATATCCAGGGAAACAAGGGTCATTGCATCGAGAAAGTGGAAGGTCCTGGTAATAAGCATAAAAAAATGTTTTGAAAAGTTTTATTTCTAAAACAATTTCCAATTTTTCTCTTTTATGGAATGAAACTATTTTTTGGATTCCCAAATGGAAGTAGAAATTACAATGATGTGCAAAAGATCCTATTTAAATTCAGGGTAAGTAAACAATTACCCATGATAAAAATTTATGGGAAAATGAGCACTCTTGTGATTTCAAATGATTGTTGTTATTGTTGTAAGTTGTGAAGTCAGGTCCAACCCATTGTGATCCCATGGACAACATTTCTCCAGGCCTTCCTGTCCTCTACCATCCTCTGGAGTCCATTTAAGCTCATACCTACTACTTCGGTGATTCCATCCAACCACCTAATTCTCTGCCATCCCCTTTTTCTTTTGCCCCAATCGTTCCCAGCATTAGGCTCCTCTCCAGTGAGTCCTTCCTTCTCATTAGGTGGCCAAAGAATTTGAGTCTCATCTTCAGGATCTGTCCTTCTAAAGAGCAGTCACAGTTGATCTCCTCTAGGACTGACCAGTTTGATCATCTTGCGCTCTAAGGGACTCACAAGAGTCTTATCAAGCACCATAGTTCAAAGGCCTCCATTCTTTGATGTTCAGCCTTTCTTTTGGTCCAATCTTCACAACCTTCAAATGGTATGCAGGCCAAATATGGCAACATGGCTTTTTTTGTTGTAATATCATTTTTTAACATTTCATCAATGCTTAATTATTATCATTTGAAAAGAATGTCATTTTTCATCTTAAGAAACAGAAATTGGATTTCTAAATTGACTATGCTCAATATTCTTGAATACAGCTCATCTGTCTGGAACCCGCACTGCGTATGAGACATTAATA